TTTTGGCAAAGAATTTTCTTAAACAAGTTATTAACCGATATAGGTTTGAAAGAATCAATTTAAAACACTTAGAATGTTTTAAAAAGTGTTTTTACAATATTTTAATCGATACAAACTTCTTTTAATCGATTAAAACTCTTTATGACCGATTAGAATTCGAATATAATAGGTCGAATGCAATATAATCGATCAGATCTTAAATATGAGCGATCAGAATTATTTTAATCGATTAAAACACGTTTCAATCGATTAAAATCACTTTGGATGTCAATGATGATCGATCGTAATGAGATTATGACCGATCAGAGTTGGTTATGATCGATCGAATTGAATTATGACCGATCAGACTTATTTCAATCGATTAAAACGCATTTCAATCGATTAAAATAACTTAGAAAATCTTTTCAATCGATTAAAACGAACTTTCAATCGATTAAAATGACTTGAAAATATATGTGCAGTTTTTCAATCGATTGAAACGACTTTATATCGCCTAAAATAACTTGGAAAGTTTTATAAGAAGGTTTTTAAACAAATCAATCGATTAATACGCGATTCAATCGATTGTTTTATACTTAGAAAATGTTTGTAAAACGCTTTAACTGATATAAACATGGTTGTATCAACTAAAACATTTTCTCGTTAAAGATCAAGAATGCATTAATGGGTTGAAAGGACTTTTAACAGATTATAACGGCTATTTCAACAGATTAAAACAAACTTTCAACAGATTAATTAATGCAGCAGATTTGAAAATACTCTTTTATAAACAGATTTGCTTGAAACTTTGAGATAGAGATCACATATCAGCTTTTGACACAATTCAAGCAATCAATACAAGCAACTATTAGCATTTTTCAAGAAAGATACACAACTCGTTTTTGTGAACTTCTTTTGAAATCTTTCTTGAGGCACTTTGCATTTCTTTGAAGAAGAAACTGATCGTGGATTGGTGTAATCCGGTTTGAGCTTTCTTTGTTTCTTCTTTTAAATTTCTATTCATTCATTTGTACTGCTTTTGTACCTGGAATTTGGGTACAAGTTTTCTCAGACTGTAGAGGTTGTAGAAGTTGCCAAGAACTGGAATTTGGTTCTTGGTGGAAAGGTTAAAGCAAGAGCTGGAATTTGGTTCTTGTGTGTGGTGCCTGGAATTTGGGCACTCGGTTTCTCTCGCTAGCTGGAATTTGGTTGCAGAGGTTTCCAAGAGCTGGAATTTGGTTCTTGGTGGAGAGTTAGAATAGGTGTAAGAGGGTGAGTCTCAGAAACATCTATTCTAGTGGAACCCAACTGGAATTTGGCCGGAGTCCGGACGTAGCCCTGGTATTGGGTGAACCAAGTATAAAATTACCGGTGAAATCTTTCCTAACCTTTCTCTCTTTAATTTCTGCTGCTGCACTTAAACTGTTTGATTGCTTTGTGATTTGTGAATTGATAAGTAATCTTAATTTTCGAATTAGATAATCTGTGTATTGCGAAAAACTTTCAAAAATCAATTCACCCCCCCCTCTTGATTTAAAACTACTTTTCTAACAAGGCCTTCGACTCCCAATCAATTTTCGACCTCAATGAATTATCTGAGGGATATGCACCCGGAAAATACCTCTCCCCTATGGGTTTCAACCCAGTAATAGCAGCTACCTCGAAAAGGGTGGGCGACACAGGGCCACAAGGCAACTCCAAAACATGTAGGTCTTGATTCCATAAATGCACTGCAGATAAGAACATCGCCATGTCCAAATGAGACAGGTCACATCGGGACAGGTGCAAAAAATCGAAAATACCAGTACTCCTCCAGTGATCCCCAAACTTAGCCTTGACCCTATCAAACCATCGAATATACAGAGGCTTTTTGGAAGGAGGGCCCGTTCTATACACTTTAGAAGTAAGATTCAGAAAATCAACCCTAACTTCAGGTTGATGAACCAAAGCCGGACTAGTTGAGAGGTTAAGAGGAGTAAAAATGTCATCGATAGGACGGAGAGGACCCCCAAAAGCAAAATTTACCCCTTCAACAGTATAAGGAATAAGTACCTGCGTCTCAGCAATCTTACGGGAAGCCTCCTCCATCAGAGGAACTGGAGCGAACCTCTGGTTGTTAATCTCCAGCAGGTTAGATGGCAGTGAAGAAAGGGGTGGAGCAGAAAAGTCAGAAGATTTTGATGAGCTGACCATTGTAGTGAATTTAGGAAAACAGAAAGGGAAGAGTTAACGGATGAGGTAATAGGAACGAAGGCAAGAGCTCAAGGAAGAAGATGAAATTGCACAGAAGGTAATGGTTCGCGTAAAAACCAGAGTGAAGACTAAGGGAGAGGTTAAGGGTAAATCGTATAGGGAACTGGAACGATGGAGGTGAAAGGCAATAAATGCAGCGTACTGTGAAGGCAACAGACTGACGAGACAACGACATAAAGCAAAAAGAAACCCACAACCCTCTTAAAACCCTAGAACCCCAGAAACCCTAAACCCTAAATCCTGTGGGCTTTCAAACACTAAGGCGGGAATATTGAAAGAATATAAAACAGAAATCATTTATATTCTTCCAAGGGGGCATTTTGTTAGTGGCAAATCGAGAAAAGCGATCGAAATCGAAAGGAAGAAATATGACTCGATAAGATAAACAAAAGTTCATTCGATGTCTAATTAGAAATACGTAGCATATAGCATCGAGAAACACAATCAAGAATCGAATGAATTGTAATCAAATGACTGTTGTCAAATAAAAACTAAGTCATATAAGATCAGGATTAAAAAGGAATCGTGAGCAATTCGAAGTTCTCGAAAGATATAGAATCGAGAATAAAGAAAGCCAATGGGGACATCGAGATTTTGGCCAAATCGTGAAGGGAAGTAAGTCGAATGCACGTATAGAGAGCAGTTTTGAAATCATGGGTAAAAGTTGGAGATCGTGAGATCGTGGGAAACTAGAAGATAAACTGCCATACGCACGTAGAACGTGGTAGCAGTCGTATTAACTGCTCTTAGAAGGCTTGAAGGATGCCCTATAAATAGAGCAAAGAAGGAAGGAACAAAGGGGGGGGGACAAAAATTGGCAGAGCGCAGAATCAGCAGTGAAACGTCTACCGGAGGAACGACGAACACCATGAAGTTTCTGGCAATCTGGATTTCCCTGCTCACGGAGTACATTTATCGCTTTCTTTATTTTCCTTGGTAATTTACTTTCGAGCCATTTCAATTCAAGCAATTTCATATTCTTGTATATTACATTCAATGTCATTTCGATTTCCGTTATTTACTTTTTATGCAATCTTAATGGGTTTTAGCAATTTACATTTCCCGCACATTTCGATTTCCTGTCCTTTATTTCTCTTGCAAACTTAATTTCTTGCAAATTTGGGGTTTTCGCATTTTCTTGCAATTTAATATTCTCTTTTCTCGATTCGATACTTTACTGCTTTGTTTGATTCGAGCATTTTAGACATAAAATACCAAAAATAGTATTTCTCGATACTTATAGTTTTCGACTCTCATACACATTTTCGATTGAAAATTACATTGCTAGCCTAAGTAAAAAAGAACTTACATGATAGAATTTTGATTAGGACCAAAATACCCTTAGGATCGAAATCGATCAAAATTCCACCAGAAACAATATATAAAGTGATCCATTTTATATTAAAAAAACCCGTTTGATTTATATAAAAAATATCCAATTTAAATAAAAAAACTGTTGGGTTTAAATAAATAAAATTGGTTTGGTTTAAATAATAAAACCAGTACAGTTTAAATAAAAAAATGGTCTGATTTAAATTAAAAAAAATCGATTTGTTTTAAATAAAAAAACCACTTAAATAAAAAAAACTGTCTGTTTTCCAGTTAAAATAAAAAAAAATTGGTCTCATTTCTAGTTTAAAAAAATATATAATAATTATGTTTTTGGTTTAAATAAAATAAATAATCTGATTTCCAGTTTAAATAAAACAACCAATCATGTAATAGAAAGTGAAAAGTATAAATAAAATGTGGAGATATAGATATTAAATTTATATTGTTTGCTCGAGGAAAAAAAGTTACAAAACAAGATATTGACTTTAGAACTCAAAAGTATTATAGACAACATCCTCTCCCAAAAATTGGCATGGAATATAGGAAAATAATTTTTCTTTTTTTATTTAGTTTCAAAATTAAATAACTTTTATATCATAAAATTATAAAAAAAATTATGTTTTAAAAAATTTAATAGTAAAAATAATTCCCTTAATGTTGTTTTGTAATAAGTTTTAAGCATTTTGCATAGATATATTTATAATTATTCATTACAAAATTATTTAAAAAAATTTGCAAAGAGTTTGGCGTTTTTTTTTAAAATCTATCTGATTTAAATTCAAAATTATTTATATATAAAAATATTTTTTATTTAATTTTTAAAAATTAATTAATGCATATAAAAAAATTGAATGTTTTATAATATGAGGACTCTGACAAACGTAAATCATCCTGGTTCGATTTATATAAAAATATCGATCCAATTTAACATAAAGAATTAGTTAGATATAGATAAGAAATCGGTCCGGTCTTATTTATATAAAAAGTCGGTCTGAATTAAATACAAAGGTTAGTTTGATTTTGTTTTTATTAGTGAAAGCGGACAACAAAATTACGAGATCAGACTGAGTTATCCATTCATCATATTACGAAATTACGAACTAGAATTTTAAGATGGTTGAAAATAATTTTCTTTTAATCAGGTGTGATAATTAATTATTTTTATAATTGAAATAAATAAATACTTACTTTCATTTAATATAAAAAAATCTATTTATATAAAACAACAACTCTGATTTAAATAAAAGAGAGAGGTTTTCTTTAAATATAAAAAAAATTGGTTCAATTTATATAAAAAAATTGTTCAATTTATATTAAACAACGACTTCAATTTAAATAATAAAATTGATTCAATTTGAATAAAAAAAGACTGGTCCGATTGATATAAATAAACCGATCCCATTCATAAAAAAAATCTTTATCATCGTGTAAAAAAACTAGTCAAGGTTATATAAAACCATTCTGGTTGATATAAAAGCCATCGGTCTGATTTATATAAAAAGGGTTCGGTTTATGTAAAAGTTTTGGCCGGTTTTTATAAAAAATAGTTAAACCAGTCTGTTAAATAAAAAACCAGTCCGCTTTGTATAAAATAACCGTTTGGTTTAAATTAAAAATCCATCCGATTTGTATAAAAAAAGAAGCCGGTCCAGTTTATAACAAAAAATGGGTCCAATTCATATAAATAACCGATTCGGTTTATATACAAAATCGGTCCGATTTATAGAAAAACTAGTTCAATTTATATAAAAAAATAGGTCTAATTTAAATAAAAGTATGGTTAATTTATATATATATATATATATATATATATATATATATATGACGATCCAATTTATATAAAATAACAGGTCTAGATGAAATAAATAAAAAAGTTTGATTTAAATTAAAAAGTCTGTCCAGTTTATATAAAATAAGATCCTATTTATATAAAAAAAAATCAGTCCTTTTTATATTAAAAAACCTGGTCTGGTTTATATATATATATATATATATATATATATATATATATATATATATATATATATATATATATATATATATATAAAACAATCTGATTTACATAAAAAAATCCGATTTATATGAAAAGTCGGTCTAATTTATATAAAAAAATGGTATAATTTTTATAATTCCCAATTTACGGGAAAAATATTTTATTTTATTTTTAATTTTGTTTTAAAATTATATTATTTTTATATCATAAAAAGAAAGTTATATCTTACTCAAATTCATTAAAATTATTTTATTTAATTATATATTATTAATTATTTTTATATGTTATTTTATATAATATCTTATATTAATAAATGAGTTTCTACTTTTTATAGTATGATACATTCATAAATAGGACTAAATTATATTAATAAATGAGTTTCTACTCTTTATAATACATTCATGATATATTCATAAATTTTCATTTAGGACTTAAAAATATTTGTAGATAAAACAAAACTTTCCTCTCAATATCACGGTATCGATATTTCATTAAAAAATATATATTTATATTATATCCATTATAATAATATTATTAAAATTAAATTCATATTTAATATATTATCTATTTTTAAGTTCTACTCCGTATAATTTAACCCTTAAAAAATTAATGTACAAAAACTACGATTACCACTACTCTTAACCATACTCAGGAGCCTAGCTAGTAATTTCAGAAAAGGAAAAACCATTGAAATTGAGTCATAGAAATTAAAGTTTTGTATGTATGACTACGACAAATAATGTCGCAATGACACGTAAGTGTACATACATATAGTTTGATAAATTTATAATGATAAAAAAATTTAATATAATTAATGATGAAAATCTTAATAATCATTAAATAAAAATAAAAAACTAGAATAGAAAATATCCTTTTTAAGTTTTAATCTTTTAGTTTTTTACTAAATAATAAAAATTATTTTTAAAAAATTACTAAATAAGCTTTTTTAATTTTGAAAGAATAAAAACCTGAAAACTAATCTTAAAAACAATAAACAAGTACACCTTTAGTGAATGTGCTTAAGTATAATAACTATCATGCCTAAATACATACAAAATAATAATCATACAATATATATAACCAATACCAACAAAAATATTACAAAGATATTAATAGAAAACTAAATTAGCAAAAGAAAAGTCACTCATTAAACTCATATTAACTAATGTCATTATCCTTTACATGACTTAAAAAAAAAAACTTCTAAACACTATATTGTACTTTTCAAACTCCCAAATATAAAAGAAGAACCAGGATATATATACTACATCTAATAATTGATCTTTTAATTTTGGATATGATCGTAATCATTGCCACTACACATGTCTTTACCTAAAGTGAAGAGTAAATATATCAAAACCTGAAAAAAAATTTATATAACGAATAATTCTCCATGCATCATTGTCGTTGGCTTCATCATTTTTTTTTTGTCAACACCGTTTTAGGGAGAAACAAAGAGATCATTTACACAATGATAAGAAGGAATTGAAAATATTATTTGATTAATAATGATAAGAGTTACACAATGATGACCAAATAATGACAAAGCTGTGCACACTACAATAACAAAAATCATATGAAAACAATAACATTTTGTTGAAAGTATAGACTTATATTTTGATGCAGTGAATCACTCTTGTGGTGAGGCACGGGGTTCTTTTTTGAAGCGTAAACGATGGAAGCGATATAGGAAGAAGGAGACAATGGTCAAAACAATGACAGAGATAATTACAACCATAATAATGTCAAGCCTTTTGAATATATCAGATATCTGAAAATGATGATCTTCCTCTGCGGCATCACCAGGAACCTGAAGAAGTCGACGGTGTTGGCCTTCAACCAAGTCTGTGGCTGCCAAAGCTGACATTGACAACAAAATGAGAATGCACATGCTCTTCCTCACCAGGGATTTTGTCCACATCATTGTGTATGGAGGAGATTTTGACGGAAAAGGGAACTGCTAAGAGAGTGGAAAAAATGTTTATGGAGATGTTTTGTTTGAAACTGTGATGGAAGAGAATGCATGTTCAGTTTATTTATGTATCAATTTCAGAGGAGAGAGGAGTGGAGGGAATTTATGTGCATGCATGCATGCATGCAATTGAATGATGATTATGATTGTACTGTACATGAGGAAAAATTATTGTTGCAGTTGCATGGATGATGATATAGTAAATGGGAAAGATCCTTTCCCTCAATTTCATAATGATAATTTTAAATGAGAAATGATTAAGCTGACAGTGTATGTGATTATCATTTTTATATAAACTCACTACACAAATTGTACGGTAAAAATGTTATGAATAGTTTTTAGAAATCAGATTTTTCGTGGGCTTGAGCGTGTCAACCCAATTTTGGCCCAAAAACATTTTAATGGTACAAACCCAATTAACATGATTATTAAGTAATATCCGTGTTTGATAACCGCACAAGAAAAAAGTTTCTAACATTCACGTAGAACTCAATTTATTATTGCAATAATCATAAAAAATATTATGATTAAAATAATTTAAATTTTTATTATATCTGTAATTTATAACTATATATAAATTTTGTATGTCATCGAAAAAAATAAAATATTATAATTTTCAAAAATGCTTATTATAATTTATATATTTAAAAATAGTATAAATATTAAAAATAAAATAAAATAAAAAAATATATATTTAAAGAATAAACAACATTTAAAATCACATTTCAAAAAAATAATATAAAAAATATATATACACACACGTTAAAGCGCGTTGTTTTTTTTCTAATTATTAAATGAAGTTATTGATAATGTGTAAGAAAAAGTTAGGATAATCAATATCATCTCAAACCTATCAAATTATTACTTCTTATATCTCTTATAATTTTATACATTTATTTTATTTTTACATATTTTATGGGACCAACATCTATTTTTTTACGAGGGTAAAAAAATTTATTTCATATATTTTATGTGAAAAAATAAAAGTTGGCCACGTATATAAACTCATTTAATGTTATACATTTTTATGGAAAGTAAATCATAATTGTGTCATAATGAAAGTTTAATTGTGCTAAAAAATTGAATTTAGCAATTAAAATTTTAAAAATTCAGTGAATGTGATATTGTTGTACAATTTGTAATAAATTACATATGATTAGAAATTATACGTATATATTGGTGAGGAATAGTAATTTTAGTTATAAAAAAGGTAATAAATATGTCAAAATATTTTTTTAAGGTTTTTTTTTATTGAAATGTTTTCCGTGAAACTTGATTTTAGTCTTTATATTTTAAAAATTGATAAATTAATCATTATTTTTCTTAAAATATAAATTTAGTCTTTATGATGATGCAAAATTATTAATTATTAAATTTAAATATAAAAACTAACTAAAATGACATAATTTGTAAATTTAGCCAGGTTGTAAATTTTGTGATGATAAAAAATCATCATTAAATATTAAGTTTAAGTATAAAAAATTAAATATTTTTAGAAATTAGAAAATTAAATTTATCAACTTGAAAAACATAAGAACTAATGAAAATTTTAGAAAAAAAATATAGAAATAAAAACCATACTTATCTCTTTTTTGTTATTTAATGATATGGAAACAAATGCAGAGACATTAAAGGTAGACTTGATGAAATAATGACACAACCTAATAGTTTAAGGTGACAAGTAATATAATGAAATTGGCAAATTTTTGTCCATTGATTTGGTAATCAAAGTTATAATTCTACCACTCTACAATTCTAAAAGGCTACTTCAATACACGAGTAAAGCATAATACTTTAATCAATTAAACATAACATTTTAATTAATTACAACTACCAATAGTTCAAATGTAAATTAAAAAGGAAAGGATGCTTTAAATTGGTCATAAGCATCTTTGTCTGCTTCAACTTGCTGTCCAAGGGCTTTTTCTTTGGCCTCAATCTCTGCAAGATCAAAAACCAGGTCTTTAGCCTGGTGAGCCCATAAGATGCAATCGTTCTTTAATGTCTCCCTTTGTTTCTCACCTTCATCAATAGACAACTGAAAAGTCTCCTTTTCTTCTTTCAGTTTGGATAACTGTTCTTCAAGTTGTTCAATACAAGAAGATATTTCATTGACCCTGTTGTTGGCATTTGAAATCGACGTTGTGATTTGCTCTTGTGCATGTTTAGTTTCTTGCAGTTTGTGAAGGATATCTTCTTTAGCTCGGTTCAACTCAGCTTTCTTTATTCCAACTGTATCACATTCTTTGTGGTGAGTAACAGCACTGTTGAAGAAGAGTCTAAAGGTCTTTATGAATGTTTGTTGGGCAAGAGAAAGTAAATTCTCATTCTTCTGCAACTCTTCAAGAATAAGTAGGACCTTTGACAATTGTTCAAAGTCTGTAACAAAATCACCTAAGCTGAAGGTCTGCATCAAGTCTTTTAGCTCTTTTGACAGAACATCTGCAGGGGAGCTTTGAACTGTTGGTGGTTCTGACTGAGTGGTAGATTGTGGAGTTTTAGAAGAAATGGAAACCTTCCCTGTCAGTATATTTTCAATAGCACTCAAAGGATCATCTTCGATCATTTTGTTAATGGCTTCTAGATCGAGTGGGGTGTTTCCACTAGAGACTTCATCAGCCTTTGGGTCAACTTGATCTGGAGATGCTTGACCCTTGCTGGAAGCAACCTGCTCTTGAGCATTGGCTGGGGCAGGGTTAACCTTCTTCACCTCTTCGACAAGGCTTTTACTGAATACTGGCTCGGTAGTATTTGAATTTTCAATATGAGGAGCATCGACATTGACTGGAGCAGCTGCAGGACGATCAGGATGTGGGGGTAATGCAGTAGTAGAGGATGAAATTGCAGCAGTTTGAAGCTCTGTGGGAGCAGCTTTCTTTGGGGTCTTGCTTGTTTGACCATGAGACCTCCTTCGAGGTAGTCTTTTTCTTTTGTAGATTACTAAAGCGTCGATTTCTGAAGAGGCTTCTTTGCCATCTACTAGGGAACTCTCTGCAGTACGTCCCTGTTATGATGGAAATAAATGTTAAAGTGATTAAGGAGTAGAGGTACTTTGACAAGTAGTGATGTGGGTAAGTTTACCTTCAGTAATGTAATTAGTTTTACCTTCAATAATTCCTCAGATGAAGATCCTTCAGGCACATTGTTGGCATTTTTATCTGCCACATGCTTTATTCTTTTAGATCTTCGGGGTGTTAATGGGGTATTGGCTGTCTGGTTAATTACGAACTTGGTAGGCTGTGAGCAAAAATAATTTCAGCAGAAGACAATGCAGTGAGATTCATGGAATTCAAACAACTCGCATGGCAGTTACCTTTGTTTTTCGTGGTCTTCCGCGTTTTGAATATGTCAGTGCTTTATCTATGGAAGGTGAAATCTTGGATTTCGTCTTTCCAGAGCCGTTGTTGGATTCCCCGTGTTCTTCTTCTTTAGAAGGATGCATCGTTTCGGTTACTTTAGAAACTAGAAAGAAAATGACTTCGGTAAAATGTATGATAAAAAAGTTGAAGTGAAATGCATGAATTATATTGGATGCGCGAAAGGGAAAAAGTTTCAGCCTTTGGATATTTAATGAAAAATGCCATAAAAATTGTTTAGGTAATTGGGGAAGTTATTCAATTCTTCTTTTGTTTTTTAAACACCTAAACGCTCCACTCGGTGGGTGTGGAGACATACCAGCCTTGGTGAAGGGAGTATTAGGTAGTGCAAGAAACTTCAGAAAAGGTTTTTCAAACTCCTCGTCTTCAGGCCATGGCTTTGACACCAAGTTCACGATGATAGAACGGTACTGTTTGTGATTAAAACAGTGAAGTACCTCGGAAAATAAAAGATTATGCCTTAAATAGAGCATTGGACGTACAGAAGGGGACCAAAGATGGAAAAATTTTAAGAAAACAAATGAGTAAGAAATTGAAAAAATGATTTGAAAGAGTCAAGACACCAACTTCTTTTGTCTCAGTAAGAAGCCCAATGAACCTGCCAACGAGACCCCAAAAAAAAAAAAACACTCCAGTCTTTAGAACATTCCCTATCATTTAAGTGACAAAAGAATTGGAACCTCCGACAAAAAGTTAAGGAATTATACTTGTAATTGTGTAAATGGACAAGCTAAATATTATATATCTTCACACAAAATATGTATGTATGAACAAACATCACTATCAGTAGTGTGGCATGCAACTGCAACTCCGTATGATTTAATGTACAAGAGCAAACACATACAACTTCATTTTCCAAACCAAATTCATACCGGATCTTGTCCTTATTTTACCACTGTCATCACAAAAATCTCTTTGAAGCATCGATGGTGACTGATGTTTAGGCACATCTTGTGAACATTCCGGTGGTTGGCATTCTGTGTCTTGAGGTTGTTCTCTATTAGCCTTCGGAGAGTTGGTACCAGTACGTGGCTTTGCATTGTTATGCTCAGCTGATGCAGCAGCATTAGCTTTCAGTTTTTCCATTTCCTGCACATAATAAACATCCCATAAGATAAGCTCATTTTGGGTGTTGCGAAACAAACACAAAGGAAAAAAACAAACCAAATAACAAGGTACTCCTCACTAAATCATGATAAGAGCATCTAAGCATAAGTCAGGAGTTCTGATAATACCATTATGTTTAAATGTGCAAGCATAAATAAATCAAACAAGATCTTAAATATCATTACCTCGTTATGCTCAGGAGAAGCCAGGTGTGAACGTATAGACTCTAACATGACCACACTACAAACCTGGCAAACAGGCTGCCGAAGTTCATTATACCTGTAACATGCACACAGGAACAGTCAAAACCATTTATAGAAAAAGAAAATAAGAATGTAATATGAATTGTGTTTCCCGCATAAGCTCAAATCAACTTATACATGATATTTAAAGAAACTATTTTCAATGAGCTTCTCCAAAAGTCAAAATGCGTAACATGAAAAAGCTGAATATAGTTGACCATCTTAGTTCCTTCTTCTATAAGCAGTTTATCTAAACAGGCTATAGTATACAAAGTGAAACACATCTTGAGAAAGAACAGTTTCAAGTTGTATACACTGTTGCCAAAGCATGTTACCAGAAATTATCCAAGTCCATAAATGGGCATAACTCAATGCATAAGCAGAAGATGTTTAAAGATTACTGTGTTATTCTCGTGTAAAGAACAAAAAAGGTAAAAAATAAAAAATTCAAGACAGCTGTGTTTGCAACTAAAGCAGTATAAGGTAACAAAAAAACACTTCCATTAGCAAAGTTGTGAAAAGAAAAAAAGGAGAATTGAAGTTAGAGCAGATGCGTGAAGAAAGTGCATAACCTCAAGAGGGGAAATACTAAGCACTTTTCTTTCCTCTGAGGACTCAAGCTAGCCCGAGACAATGCCTTTTTCTTGACCGGAGCATCCATGTTCCTGCTCGTAAGAACAAGAAGAAGAATGTGACTTAAGAGAAAACGATTAAAAACGCAATAAACTCTAAGCTGAACCCTCAACACTCCCACGAAATTGTTGAACCCTTATTTTATACTATTGTTGTTCAAAATTGTGTCTATTCTCATTTACCTCGAAAAAAGAGACGAGGGTCCGAATTGAAACGGGTAATTTAACCCGACCCGGTTAGTAGGATCCAAAATGAAACCTTAATAAACAAACCTTTGCGTCGGGGGGGTTTGGGCAAAGAGAGAAAATGGAGAGAGGGAAATATTTGGCATTGGTGGGAGGAGGGGTTCTTCTGGGCTCTGTCTCTACCTTCTTTCTTCTTAGGCTTCTTCAATCTCAAAAGTATGCAACTTCTGCTTCTTTTCCCTCTTATTCCCCTCTTGTTGTCTACTTGAACTGAACTACTTTCTGTTTTGTTTTCTCCTCTGTATATATACAATGACACAGAACTGGTACTTTGCTTGTTGAAACCCCACAAAAGAAGAAGGACTGGTGCTAAAACAACGTTTATTGCTTAAAATTTGAAACTTTGCGTTAATTGAGTCTCATAAAACGTAATGGGTTGTTTGGATCAAGTTGTTTAACTTTTGGGTCCTTTAGCAAAGGGATAATTTTTTTTTATTGTACTTTGGATGGTACTGAATGCTTGTTGTCATATCTGCAGAAGAGGTGTGTCGCAGTGCAGTAAGAATGTTACGGCTGACTTCAATGGTAAGTGGCCTGGAAATATGAATTTTAACTGCGAAGTGAATAGCTGTGAACCAATTTGTCTCTATTTCTTTTGTTATGACGAGTCTATTTTTTCCTGCTTCTGAATGATTCCCTTTCATATTGGCCTAATAAAAAACCTTTGATAATAAAAATTGTACATTCACTCATATACTCATCGATCCTCAATGTTGGTGAGTTGACGCTGCAATTAGGCACCACCTGTCAATGCTTAATTTCTTATCCTATTTTTGTTTGATCGGAAATAGAGAGGAGGGGAGACAGAATGTAAATACCAAGTTTTATAGTTTGTTTAGGAAGTTATTTAGGCAAATGCGTTTTGCATCTCTTTTTTTCATTTACTTTATAATAATATTAAAAAAAAAAAAAAAAAAAAAAAACTGCATTCGTAAGATAGTTTCTTAAATTTATTTCTTGTAGAGCAGGTATTCCTTGTAAATGTATTAGTTTATGAGGTCATCAATGGTTCAAGGCAGAGTGTATACACATGTTATAAGTTTATAGCTCAAATCCTACCCCTTTTGAGCAGAATCACGCAGATATGTTAAAGACGACTATCAATGTGTCCTCAATTATAAAGAAGTTTCAATATGTGACTAATGCTCCTATCTGCCTAAATCCTAATTTCCCATCAGCAAATTAATAAGACTGCTTAAAATGTCCTTATAAATGTTGAACTTTATGTCTAATACAGGTGTTGAGGGATGCATTATTTCTGGAAAGAAAAATGATAGGGTGGTTAATGAAGATCTTCTGAAAGATGACATTGTTTCAGAACAGCTAACTAGGTATGCAAGTTGTTGCCAATAAATTTAATTTAGCATTTTATCTGAAGTTATTTCTGACGGCTACTTTGTTTTACATTGTTGAGTTAATTGGTAATACATGATTTAAGAAGAACCTGCAATCTTATGTCAATTAGACTGTGATCTCTTTTATCTGTCCAAGAAGTTTTAGAGTTCGTGCAACATTTACCAAAATAGTTGGCCTTTACGCTTGGTGCTCTTTTTATAGTTAGTGTTTGATGTTCAATTTGGGTTGGACATAGCACGAAATATTTTTTTCCTTGCATAGAAATACATATTTACACTTTGCATGTTGTCCCACTACTCTCACTGTCCTGGATAGCCAATGAAATCTATTTCAATTTTGGAAGACATGACTTTTTGCCTCGAGGACCCATTGTTCATTGCTTGATGAATGAGCTGAGAGAAGAGAAGAAACCAAAATGAATTTGGTTAGTTTCACTGGGGGAAGATTTCTTTCTCTTTGATTTTTGGGACTACCAATGCATCTCCTGCAATGCTTAAATGCCTTCTTTAGAGTTGATTTTATTAAACTCTTTTTTTCACTCAATATTATCTACATTGGGTGTACATGGATGAGACTGTCTTGATATTACTATGCTTTCACGGACTTTTACTAATCAAAATGTTTTTGGGTGGAATGTTTATGCTGTTACTAGGAACATTCAGTTTTTTGGCTTTGAATCTCAGCAAAAAGTGACTACATCATATGTAGTGGTTATTGGTCTTGGAGGTGTCGGTAGTCATGCTGCTTCTATGCTCTTGAGATCAGGGATTGGCAAGCTTCTTCTTATTGACTTTGACCAGGTTTTTTCTCAGATTGATTCTCTACGTGATAATCTTTAATGTCATCTAGAAGACTCTGATGCCACCAAACAGGAAAATTTTAATTGTTTACATTGTGAAATGCAAATTTTATCTCCAATGTTAATATTAGCGGAGGTTCCTTTCTTCATTTTGGCTGGAAATGCTTTTTCTATGCTTAAATAGAACAGGAACGTAATAGACACAAGTGCTGGAATATACTACTATAACGATAAAAATTGTAAATTTGTCAACTGTTATTGTTTAAGAAAATGAAGTTTAGATTGGAAAAAATATCATGTTACTTGGTTCTTTTTCTTATTAATTATCATGAATAGTCTTTTAGTAGTTATTCTATTCACATTAAATGTCAATCTACACAAGTCTCTATTTATTTTGCATGGCTGAAGAATCCATAGCTAAAATCTTGTTAACTATATTATTAAGCTGCATTTGGTGAAATAGAGTAATAAAAGATAAAGTAGTTCTATCTTTTCCTGTCATATTTGCCCAACTCTAGAATTTGTATAAGCCTTTTCCTTCCGCATGGTATTTGTACTTATTTATGTGTTAAATGAGAAGGTTTCTGTTTCATCACTAAATCGACATGCTGTTGCAACAAGAGCAGATGTTGGCATCTCAAAAGCTCAGTGCCTTAAGGAGCATTTCTTCTCTATTTTTCCAGAGTGCCAAATAGATGCCAAAGTGCTATTATATGATTCATCCACTGAAGAAGAAATTCTCTCAGGCAACCCTGACTTTGTTTTGGATTGTATTGATAACATTGATACAAAGGTATTTTCTAAAGATTACTCTCTAATTGACTGTATTGTTATAAGTTCGTGCTGCTATTCTGTTGCATGACAACATGACAGACATTCCTCACTCCCCTGTTGTGAGAGCTTTTCTGATCAGGCACTAATTGTTCTTTTATATTCATAGTCTTTTACTTTTCTTTCTTTCAAATCTTTAGTTTCTAAGTTGCAAAATTAAACAAAAATTCTGATCCATATATGAATGTGGTCTGCGGGATAATTTATATCGGTATGTATGCCAATATGACATGGTTGGTGTTGAAAAACCTGATAAAAACCTGTTCTCCTATTCTATGCTCCTTTGTATTAACAACCATACCACTTATTTTCAAATATCTGCTGTAATAACCTTGAGCTTTCAATGCATGATTTGTCATATGTCATAGGTGGCGCTTCTTGCTGCATGTGTACGAAGGGGTTTGAAGGTTCTATCTGCCACTGGGGCTGGTGCCAGAGCTGATCCAACAAGAATACGCATTGCCGATCTAAGAGAGTCTACTAATGATCCATTGTCTCGAGCTGTAATGTTCTTTTATGTGTCTCTTTTTTATTGTATTTTCTAGAGCTTAAACCATATAAATTAATTGTTGTGGCAGCTTAACACTAATTCTCATTCAGTAGATTGCATCCCTATATCCTAATTTTTGCAGTAGTACACTAATGTATTGCTTTTCAACGCCATGTGCTAATTACAGTTTACAGACTTAAGTGAAAAGTGAGTATAGAAAGCAAAGCTGCACTTGTGGGCACCAAAATTGACTAATACGATTTTTGAAGACAAGTTTTTAGCACGTTGGTTACTTTAAATAATACTGTATTCTTGAGCCCCTATTGGTGATTTTATGAATACCAGTATTTAGTCATAACTCCCCTCACTCAATTTCTTCTTACTAATATGAGCTACATAACTCATACTGCAATCATACCTATGCAGGTAAGACATCGTTTGAGGAAAGATCATGGCATTGAAGGTGGTATCCCTGTGGTGTTTTCTTTAGAAAAACCCAAAGCTAAGTTGCTTCCATTTAAGGGTCCAAGTGGAGAAGAGGAAAACCCTTCACATTACCAGGTGAGTTCATTGTTTTCATTAGTTTAATCACCCTTGAGATGAAAATATATCTCTGTTTAATTATCATAAACATTAAGCTAGAATTTTTTTTCTTCATTGCCAAACCATTGCGCTTTCATTATCATGACATTTAGTGGTGCTAGATACACGTTCTGACTTCCTCTTGCCAGATAGTACCAGGTTTTAGGGTGCGTATCATACCTGTGCTGGGCACCATCCCTGCAATATTTGGGCAATTCATGGCCTCCTATGTTGTGACCGAGTTAGCAGGACGGCATGTTCAAACAGAACCTGTGGTCAATTTTGACATGGATCATTACCATACTCTTCATCAACGGCTTATCGAGCATGAGGAGTCATTGTATGGAACATCCATCGAAGTACAGGCATGGAGTTTTCCCATTTGATTTTTGTTTCATTATGAATTATTCAGTAAAAGTGATATCTTGACCTCATAAAAAAAATTATGCCATCTCTATTCATTGAGTTGCACATTACCCATAATTTTTAATTATCAGGCTATTTCCTTCTAATTTAATTTCACTTTTTACATCATTAACCCTCTTTTCACATTTGATGATTCACTACAATTAATAGCTGTATCTTGACAAAAGAAAAGTTATCCAGGATCAATTTCACTTTTTCAATGATCAAAAAGTCATTATAGAAGACACAAACTATTTACTTTCAGCATATTTAGAAGCTAGTAACTTCTCAATCAAAATCTTACTGCATACATGCTTGTC